GGGGGTCGGGGGGTGAGAGGCTCGGCCTGCCCCACGACGACGGAGGGACGTCGATGGGCGGAGGGCGCGGCCTCCCAGCAACCTCTCCGGCCAGGCGTACGGCCCTGGCAGCCCCCACTTTCGTGCGCCCCCTCCATTCCCGACCGACCCCTCCCGCGGTTCAGCCCCACCCCCTTCACACACACACCCCTCCGGCGCCAGACCTGGTCCATGGCGACAACGTAGGACTGGATGTGGGGGTTCTGGCGCTTCTCCCCAGTCAGCACGCCGTCCTTCCAGGTGCCCTCGCAGGAGATGGTGGACCCCACCAGCTTGACCTGGTCCGTCAGCCGGCTGGTGAGCACCTCGGTCCAGTGCAGCGCGCGGGGCCAGTAGGGCGGCAGGAAGGGGCCGCGCACCGAGCTGTTCAGGAAGAGCACGTAGCGGTAGCGCGCCGTGTCGACGTGCTTGGTGCCGATCACCCAGCCAAAGGTGCCCCAGTCGAAGCAGGAGTTGGGGTGGCGCACCAGGCGGACGTTGGCCGGCAGGGTCGGCAGCCGCGTCTCGCCCAGCACCGACTCGCCCTCCTGCATGACGATGACGTAGTCCACCCCGTCGTCGGCCGCCACACCGTGCTCCAGGAAGTAGCGCAGGTTCCCCTCGTACTCCGGGTCGGTGAAGGAGTAGACGTAAACCACCAGTGTGCTGCGGTCCCGTGGGCCCATCGCATGGATCAGGCTGCTGGGTCGGATGCCCTGGTACCTGGCAGAGGGGGGAGGGTGGGGAGGGGAATGAGTGGGGGAAGGCGAGGAGGGGAGGGGCCGGTGATGGGTGGGGAGTTGAGTGGAGCTATAAATTGAGGTGTGCAGGAGCCTGGAGGTCCGCTGCACGATGAGGCAGCAGTGGCGCTCCCCTCCTTGGAAAAACAATGTGCTGAGGAAGAGGGAGTGTGGCTTCCCGGCCCGGCTGGACGAACACACACTCCCACAGGGCGTTGCGGGCACGCTTCTGGGTGGACTTTCAAGGGCTTGAGTACCCCAATCAGTCCCCGACTCCCCTCCTCCCTTGCCTCACGCCCACCTCTCCGGGAGGGCATTCAGCCACCAGAAGAGGCACAGGAGCGCTGCGGCGGCGAAGATGAAGCGGTAGCGCATGCCGCTCTGGCGACGAAACGTTGCCGTCCTGGTACTGCGCAGCGGGACTCAAGGGCGAATTGTGTGGGGCAAGGTGGACGCTTGATCGGACATCGTTCCCAAGCCAAGCAGGCAGGATTTGGGGGGGGGTGCGGTGGATGAAGGGGGTGGTCGCAGGCCGCGACAGCTCGGAGGACAGGAACACTGGTGCAGGGGCCCGTACATCGCACATGAGCACCTTGCGGTTCGCCCTGCCCGCCCCCCCCCCCCCCCCCCCTCCCGGTGGCTCACGCTGTGACCCTGCTATTGCGAGGCGCCTCCACATCCTCTGAGATGCTGTTGGACCGCAATGAGACCAGGCTGTCGCTCAGCATGGCTCAAGCTGCTCCTGTCCTGCTACCTGTCGGTGGACAGCGTGGTGCAAGGGCAAGCTGTGAAGTGGTGCCCATGGAGCAGCTGGACAGAATGCAGCCCGAGGATGGACTTGAGGAGCGCGCATGGGGCTCACTGGGGTGATTGGAGATATCGAACGAGCATATTACTCGATATCATGCGACATGCCGGAGAGAGGAAAAGGGATTGGTCCGTGGACTCTGGTGCAGACGGCGCTTTGCCACAGTACAGCAGAGGCGAAGCAGCAGGCAAGATCTATTTGGAGAAGGCACAGCCACTGCCAAGGGTGCATGGTACAGTTTCAAGAATTATTTCCAGCTCCACAGGGCTTCAAGATCATTTGGGAGGGGAAGAAGCTACGGAGCTACCAAGCTGAAGGAGATCCTCACCGTAGCTGTCGCATCGCAGGCCCGCAATCCTTTCGCATGCGCCAGGAAGTTTGTCTGGAATTGCTGCAAATAACCGTGAGCACCGTCGGGCATACGCGACGGTCCCTATACAGTGCACCTGACGAAAGGTACCCCGTGTTTGAGCGAGACCCGCACTCGGGCAGCCTCCCATTGACCCAGGTTTTGAGCCGGCAACTCTGCCGTGGCGAGTAGTCTGGGGTGTGCTCCTGGTGCCCCCTCTTTCAGCCCAAGCGTGGATAGGCAGCAAAGGTGTGTTCTCAGCATACCGTCGAGGATTGAGGGTAGAGGGCGGCGCCCTGTCTCCTTGCCCCGCCGTGTGCGGGCACCGAGAGGCGTGCTTGGACTGGAAGGGGCGGAGCAATTGCGCCTTCACGGCCTCGACGTATCGAGTATTCAATTATTGTATGAAAATGTCGTCGGTGCTGCGTCGCCCGGCCGGGCCTCGTCCAGCGTCTGTGTGCAGGAACTCCTGGGCGATGCTCCCCTACCCCCCCCACCGCACTGCAGGGCGGCACCATGGTGCAGGCAGTCATCAAGAAGTCCCACGGGCCCAAGAAGGCCAAGAAGGCCTTGACCTTCACCATCGACTGCACCAAGCCGGTGGAGGACAAGATCATGGAGATTGCGTCCTTTGAGAAGTTCCTGCAAGACAGGATCAAGGTCGATGGCAAGACGGGTCTGCTGGGCGACAACGTCAAGGTGTCCCGCACCAAGTCCTCCGTCACCGTCACCAGCGAGATCGCCATGAGCAAGCGGTACCTCAAGTACCTGACAAAGAAGGTGTGCGTGGGGGTGTCGTGGAGAGGGCCAGGTGGACCGCTCTTTCTCCAGACTGAAGAGATACTTCTCATGTGGGACATGCATGCATGCATGCACGCACGCTCTCATGCCACGGGCAGGTGGATGCAGTGTTGCACGTGCAAGGCCCCTGCCTGGTCAAGGCCAGGTCCCATCCCTGGGAACCCCTGGTGCGCCCATTGAGCCGCCTGCCCTGCCACCCCCCTCTCCACAGTACCTGAAGAAGCACAACGTGCGCGACTGGCTCCGGGTGATTGCCTCCAACAAGGACCGCAGCGTGTACGAGCTCCGCTACTTCAACATTGCGGACCAGAACGAGGATGACGAGGACGACGAGTGAGCTCTCGCTCAGTCAGGCACAGCGCCTGCTGTAACCCTCGCCACTTGACGGCTGGACAGCCTCTCGGCGCCACGCTGCATGCGTGCCGCCTGCAGTCCTGTAACCTCTCGCAAGCAGCAGCTGCCCAGCTTCGGACTGAGATTCCAGCATGGGCGACTGTGGGAGGGGGCTGCACGAGGGGTTGCACTGGCCTGCCGAACGACGAGTCCAGGGAGCGTCTGTTTAGAGTGACGAGGCCCGAGTAGGCTGGCGAGCGCGGCCTTTGCGGCAGGCAGGGTCACGGGGGAGGTGGGGAGGGAGCACGGGGCGGCGTGCCGTTGGCGGGGCTGTGTAGCGCCAGCAAGCCCCTTCCAATTGTCCGCGCCCTGCCAGCGGCCCTCTCAGAGCTCTTCGTATGCCAGGCCACCCTGCGCAGCCGTCGATGACCATGCAAGCTCGACCCCTCCAGGTCTGGCCCGCTGCACTCTACACCCACCAGCCTTTACAGAGGTGGGGCCAAGGGACAAGGAGAGGGAGCGGCAAGAGTACAATGCGCAATGGGAGTGCCGGGGATAAGCTGCTCTCGTGGGCGGAGGAGGGGGGTGGCCACCCCACCCCGCGCCCCACACGTGAGCCATGTACATACACGCACCGGCCGGGGGGACCCGTTAACAGGGGTCAGGACGCGCGCTGCGGGGTTTTTGACCCCGGGCCGCGCCCCGGCTCGTCAGACCTTGATGGCGATCTTGGCCAGGATGCGCTTGCCATGCGGCGTGCCGCGTAGGGCTGGGAGGAAAGGGCGGATGGCCTCCACCAGCGCGGCATGCCGCGCGCCGGAGGTCACGCTGAGCGCGCTCTGCATCACGTAGTTGGCATAGGGGTCCTGCAGCAGGCGCCCGAAGCTGGGCGAGGTCATCAGCTCCTCCACCACCGCGTCGCGCTCCTCCAGCAGGGACGACGTCTCCCCGCCCCCCAGTTTGAGGCACCGCTCCACGACGTTGGAGCTGTGGGTGTGTCGAGAAGGGGGGATGGTTTGGGGGTGAGGGGTGGAGGAGTACCTGGGGGAAGGTGGGACCAGACCGTGCGCGTCGCCGCTGCCTGCACACCCTCCATGCGCCAGGGCAGGCAGCAGGCGCTGCATTGGCGCTCTCACACAGTGCCAGCCAGCTGGCTCTTAGGGCTGCTGGCCCCCCTCGGCATATGCCAGATCAAATGCTCCTGCAAAATTCAGCCTGCCGCCAGCCAGCACATCCCGCCAGCGACAGGGGCCCCCTTCCCTAATCACCCTCGCCGCACCTGAACTTCTGCACTGCCAGCTCGGCATAATGGCCCTTGAGCTGTGCCAGGATGGGCGCCAGCATCTCGCCGTTGCCCTGCTCCAGCACGTACTGCACCACGTAATTGCCAAAGGGGTCCTGCGCCGAGAAAGGATGGCGGCGGTGGGGGATGTGTTGGGGTCCGGCGGGCAGATGGGAACGTTGTTTGTTGGGCCAGGCTCATTTACTGGTAAACCCGAAAGCGCGCGGGCTGGTATCCCATTAGCCCCTGACACAGCACACACACACACACACCCTCCACCCAACCCCCCCCCACCACCCAATCACCCACACCTGGCTGAGGATCAGGGCATGTGCGGCGATGCAGTGCGCCAGGTGACGCTTCTGCGCGGCGTCGGCGCGGTCGATGCAGCGCTGCAGCACGCAGCAGCCGTGGCGATGCGTGGCGATGTCCAGGCAGTGGTCGGCGGCGGCGGCGTAGACGAAGCCCAGGTCCTCGTTGGTCATGCGCTGGAGGCAGCGCTGGATGACGTGGTTACCGTTCAGGTCGCGGATGAGGGCCACCACGCCCGGACGCAGGGCCTGGATCACCAGCTCCATCTATTCAGGTGTGTGTTTGGTGGTGGGGG